CCCCCCCCCCCCCTATCCCTTAAAAAACGAACGGTCCCTGAGGTTGCGCAGAATGACCGAAAGTCCGCGAATTCGAAACAGACTAGAGGCCAGGGGCCCAGCTGTTCAAAGCATAATTAAGCTAACTCTGGGTTAGAGTGAAATTTTAGTCCAATTTTGTTACTGTCCAATAAAAAAATTTCCAAAAGATTTTCCGCCTTATGTTTTGAGTTGAACTGAACCTAACTTTAAGCGTAAACTTTGATTTTCCGAACCTTCTCAATGAGCGAGATAAAAACTTTGGTTATCTCTTAATCCTGGGTTAGCACTAATCGACTTTCGAACAACCGGGCCGGGAGGTCGTTATTCGTGGTGCTGACCGAAAGAAACGCGGCCTCTGGGGACGAGAATGAGACAAACCATGACAACTACGTCTGGGCCGTCCAGATCACGTCATTCAGCAGACGGTACCCATTTCTGCTACGGAAGTGAAAGCAGTTCAGTTTCCGCTTCAGAGCGTTTCTAAACGCAAGATTTGTTCTTTTGTCTCGCTGTTTGCAATATCTACTGAGAGTCAAGAAGAGAACAATGAGCGACCTGGAACGTGGGGAGGAGGTGGGTCCTAGTTCATGTATTACGAATGTAAACAAACTGATTTTAATTCCTGTTCGACCAAATAGGGTTTCTTTCACTATCATGACAATAACCGTTTTCTTCACATCCCGGTTGATCGAAAGACGCTTTACAGTGACCCAGGATTAAACAAGTTCCAGGATTAAATTAAGCTCACAATTTCTGCTTTACCTGATGTTTGGCAAAAATTCACAGGAAACCCCATCCATTGCGATATGGTCAAACTGATATCAACCTTGGGTTAGCGTTTTCCCGCTTTCCCCTGTAAAGGTCTCCAGGGGCCCGTTTCTCGAAAACTCCGGAAACTTGTCGGGCCCGAAACGCCATTTTCAGTTAATCGGTATTTAAAGAAGAGAGGTGTATACACCTGAGACTTCTTGTACGGTATGGAACCTGTGTTTATATTAAGAATATGTGAATAAAACAGCTCTGTAATAATAAGGTTTGAGATGTTGCTACGGCTTTCCGGGCGCGAAAACTTTTTGGGACTTTCGAGAAACGGGCCCCAGGTTTGTAGTTTTCTGTACTTTTTTGGTCTAGCATTTATTTCGATAGAAAGTCAAATCAGAATTTTTAATGCAAATATAATGCACGGTTAGCTGAATTACATCAAGCGTCTCGATCCGGTAGGGGAAAAACAGCAACGAAAGTGAAACCGGAGCTTGCTCTAAAAAGATTTCAGGGAATGTTACTAAATAACCTTTTCAATGTCCCCTCTAATCTGTCAAAGTTGCGATCAAGCCTTTCTATCGATAAATAAGAGCGGAATTTCAAGTTATCAGTTGTCTGGCTCCTCGGAGACGTAATTTGACTCGAAACGAGTTGAAAGGAAGGGGTTTTTCCCAGCCCAACAAGAGTAAACAAATTTTTGTCACGAAGACGAATAATTATATAGATTTAAATAATGTTTGTTGAGCGGCACTTGACACGTGATATACATATACTTTTGAATATATGAAATATCATATATTTGAACTGCGGAGAAAGATATCAAGGCATGATTGACCATCGCAGTTATACACACAACTTAGGCAGTTGTGAAATTAAAGCCTGAAAAAAATTCAGACCTGAACAGGATTCGAACCCATGAGATCATGAGTTCGAATCCCGTTCAGACCTGAATTTTTTCAGGCTTTAATTTCACAACTGCCCAAGTTGTGTGTATAAGTGCGATGGTCAATCGTGCCTTGATATACATATACTTTGTTGGCAAAGTTTGTCCTGGACATGAGAACGCCATAGAAAGCTGAGCAGGAATTTTTAATGCAAACACGGTTTACGTGAATTACGACATACGTGTTAAATCAGTAGAGGAAAACATCAACGAAGGTAAAACCAAACTGCCTGTTAATGTCAGTCCAAAAACAGTAAACAAAGAACCTTCTAAATATCTCTCCTAATGTGCTTAACTTGCAATCAAGCTTTCCTTTGCGTAAATAAAAAGGGGAATAGCTGTTTTTTTCCCGTCTCAATTGACTTCGTAACGACATGAAGGGAAGGGAGGCAAACAAATAAGGAAAAATCAAGAAGAAGGTCATGTGGATGACCTGTCTGTTGAATGGCAACTGGCCTGTCATATACATGGGCTCTGTTATAAAACTTTGCCGCTAAGTCCTTAAATTATCGTCTTGCCAGGTTGCCCCTTTAAATCGTCACCGTGACGTTTTTCAGTTTCCTCTTTTTTGATATTTCAGGTGCCACTTTGTAAGGACAAGGTCCGTGTGAGATCTAAACCGCTACTTCGTAAGGACAAGGTCTGTGTGAGATCTAAACCGCTTTTCGTCACATGCGCTGTGTTGATTCTCCTGCTCCGCGTGGTTGGGCTTTGCATGTTTATCATCTGGGCATCGGACTGTTTCATCAGAGAATTTCAGACCACGGCACTTTGTGAGGGATTTTCCCTTTTTCCTGTTCCTAAGGTCTTTGCCAGTATCAGGCTTTTCCTGTGTGCCTTAACTTCTTTTCTCTTGATCTTGCATATTAGGTGCTTAAACCACTTCCCTGGATTTCGTCGTATTTTAAAGCACCTGGTCTGGAAAAAATATTTCTGGACACTCGTTGTGATACTTTTTTTGGTGTGTGGCTACGACATTTTGATAATTTCACAAGCGCAAGAAAAACTCAAAACTTTGCTGTACTTCTTTTACATCTTTGAAAAGTCTTTGGGGGTTGCATTGGCACTCTGCTTGAACTTTCTTCCCTCAAATGCAAGTGGTCTGCCTCAAAAGAAATCTGGCCTAAAGGTTTGGCTCTACATAGTAGCTTTAATCGTGTACGCACTCGAGGATTACACAATGTTTATTCTTGGTTCGACAATTGCTGTTCAGAACGTCCTTAGTGTGCCACATACTGCGAACAATGAAGATTCACCTGACATAGCAGCCGTTGCGAGTTTGATGCTCTTGATAATCAACAATGGTCTGAGGTATTACTTAGCCGATTTCTTTTCTTCAAAGTGTTTTGACCTAGATGTGGACATCTTGGGAGGTGGAACAAAGAGCATCTCGGAAAGCCTTGCACAACCAGCTACGGTGAACCAGGCTCGAGAAAATAACGAGGCATCTAGTCAAATGACAACCCCTTTGTGAATGCAGGGAGAAATTTCAAGAACAAGAAGAAGTAGCTAGAAGTGCCTTCCGACAACATTTTCAGCGAACAGCCAACGGAACTATCCGCAGGCCTTACAGCCTTATTTTGCTATGTAAATAAATGTTTCCATGAGACAGACAGAATTTGTATTTCGACAGGCGTTCAATTGGAAAAAGGGTCATAGTTACACACTGCTGGAAACTTAAGAAGTGGAAGGTTGTTGGATAGACAAAACTTTGAGAGTTATGACGTTAGTACTGGAAGGCAGTTGTACCTCGCCTTAGCATACTTATTAGCGTTACAGAATAGAGGCATTGTAAGCATAATTTGGAGCATTCACAGTTGTTCAAACGATATGTTTTATTGTGATTCGAAGTTTGGAATAACCTTCCAGTTTTTCTCAGACAGTTTAAATCTCATCAAAATAGCCATACTCATACTCAGTGATTTAGCTTACCTTTTAAGTGAAAAGCGATGTGTTCTATGCCATAAATACGTTTTATCTTTACAAACTAGGAATAATCAATCATGCTATGTGCTTCAACGCAATATCGATGCGTTAGTGTTACATTCGGCTGCTGAAGTATCTCAAGTACGTTAAAAGGAACATTTAATCCAGAGCTTAGCTGTTATTTAGCCCGTCACCTTTTATCGTAAATTACTTGTTTAAATTAGTTTTGTCCGATAAACTTTGTCACATATCTATAAATATCTACTTGTAACATTTTTATGTAGATTTTTAGTGTTAAGTTTGTTGCTTTAGCGTTGGAATAAATATGTCGTGAGAGACCACTGAGCCAAGCTGAAGGAAGTCACCTCAGAGAGGTAGGCCTTACAGTGGTGTCGGTTGTCAAAGAGTTGACCAAACTGGTTGGTTAGTTAGAAAACAAGGCCTTTCATGGTTACTAGGGTTGCCCCGGTTGATCCATGCAGGCTTAGTTCAAAGTAAAATCTTTCACCTGATCTAAAAGGGTACGGAACCTGTTTTGCATTTTATATAACACTCGGCCTCTGAGAAGCTCAATAGTTTTTAGCTTTTTTAAAGCGCTATGTTGTTGAGTTTGGAATTGTAGCTGTCGTTTTAAGTAGTTGATTTCGGTGATGACACTTTAATCCATGTAACTGGATTCCAAAACGTCGCATGAAAAAATAAACTATTGTTATGGTTAGTGTTAACATTATAAACGTGACTTGCAATATTCCGAATTTCCTGGAAGTAATGTCTAAGCCAACTTTTCCAGTCATCTTGTTGTATGACGTCATACATCACCGCCATCTTTTCAGGAGCTATGTTTCATGTTTCAGGAGCAGCAAGCCACCATCTCGGAGCTCTGAAGCAATACATCGCCGTAATCTTGAAAGTTTGCGTGAACGCGTATAAATAGCTTGTGTCTGCTTTTGTCAGTTTCACTCATTAAACAGTGGCAACAATATGACTTTATTCAAATTGCTCTAACTTCTTTGTAGAGTTTCTTCTTCACCTTGGTTGTCTCAACCCATCAGTAAATGTATCCAAAACGGATAAAAAATTTGTAGACTATCCGAAAAATTGTTTCACCTATGTTTATTAGGGCGAGACAGCTTACTTTTCCTTGTGTTGTGGCCTTGGAAAGAGCCGTTTTGTGTTGCTCTGAAGAAATCTGTGGAAAATTGCTAAGAAACTTCTCGTAACTATTCCTCGAGAACATCGAGGCCCTCTATCATAGTAATGACGTCCCTCCTTATGTTCCAGTATTGTTGCAACATGGCGCTTAAATCGAATCACCATTTCTGAGGACACTTGTTCAGATGATTCTGAAGCAACTCAAAACCTGAAGAGGACGAAAAAAAAACCTTGAAAAAGTGCAATGGAGATATGTATCCAAATCTTTATGTCCTGCTGAAAATCTGCTTTACCATCACAATCACGAGATGCGATGTGAACTGAAGAAGTCCCATTACCCTTAGACGGCTGCTCACTGTGTAACTCGCGTACGTCACGTTGATTGTGTTGCTTTTCTATGGCATGCTATAAAATAGTTATTCAACGCTCTCTCGTGGAATACCATGGAATATCCCACGAGTCACTTGTATTTTCTTGGTATACACACGAGTCTTTATACAAGGCTCGTGTGTATGCTCTTACGTGGGATATTCCATGGTATATCACAAGAGAGCGTTGATTAACTACAACCCTGGACAAAAGTCCTTAGGACACTTATGTAATGTAACAAATTATCTGTGTTTTACAACTGAGGTGCTATCCTTTTAAACCCCTCCCCACCCAAGACAATGTTGAAAATCAGGAGAAAATGCAGGTACCAGTTTTCAACATTGTATGTATAGGGTGGGGGGAGAAGTTAGGCGGGTGGAATTGTATTCGCGTCTGGCGCGTGCGGAAAAGCGCCAAAAGTGCAAACGTTGTCCCAAGAAGGCTTTTGTCCATGATTGTAGTATATACGTCTGACATATTTTGGTGAACCCGAGTAACGGTGGCTAAGTTTTCGTAACTCTATTTAGATCAGAATTGAACTCTGTCGTGGCATTTAGATTGAGCAGGTTTAAAGGCCAACAAAACAGATCTTGATAACTGTGAAATTCGAAGGTAAAATATAAATTCATTTTAAAAAATAGGTGTCGTCCTCGGCGCCGTCGTCATTGTACAAACTCCTATCGTTCCAAGGTCACTGTGTGGCTACTGAGAATTCACTCTTGCCGGGTTTATACAAAATGCTTTTAATATGCTGGAGCATCGAGGTTAATCACCTGAGAAGACAAAGCAGCGGCATGCCAACAAAATGCACGCGCAACTAACGGCTCTTTGTCTGGGGAGCTTGGAAAACCAACAAAAACCAAATTATTCAAAGCGTGGCAAAGCGCGCGCTTTTTCGTATAATTGCTTTGAAAATAAACCCGGAGTCTATATCGCGGTTACTGCGAAAATATGTATGTTCGGCAACATTTTAATTGACAGAGAACAACAGCAGGTTTTAGTATAATCGTCAGCTATAAAAGTGACCGGATCTTTTATAATGAAGAAATTTAATTCCATGCACCAGTTTGAATTTTCTCCGACACCGAAACTTCATCTAAGTCTGAATCTTGGTCGTAAAGTGTCAACAGAAACTTGTTTTTACATGTGTAAAGTGATCGCGTTTGACACGATCTCCTTTCATTGTTGTCATAATTAAAACAGATGAAGGCTTTGCCACTTTTTAAGCCTATCTGTCAACGTCGGCATCTTTGTGAAGAAAATTATTCATCAAAGCTGCGATTTTTTTCTTGTCATTAGTTTTCTTTGTGTAATCGCTTGATAGACTCATTGCAGATGTTTTTTGTCCTTGAGAGCACATAAAAATATTGGCAACCTTTTCAATTAAAAAGCAAAACATTTGAAACTAGAGGCTTGGAAAATAGGCGGCAATGAAAGACTAATAACCACAGCCTAAAATCAAGTTTAGCTAATAATTTCGAGGTAAGCCCTTAAGCGTTTATGGTTTCAGTTTTTCTCGTTTAATCAAAAAAACCAAACGCTGATGTTTATTACGCTGATTGCGAACTTATTTACGAACAGTTTGTACTGAATATCTCACAGATTGTTTTATCTCAATGCAATATTTTTCTTTTTGTCTGTTTTCGCTTTTCATAGCATCAGCGCTTGGTTTGCATAAATGTTTATATTTCATTTCTGGTCACGAGGATTTCGGAAGTCATTTATTGGAGACTTTCATTTTGACAACTTCATTTGCAATCGCTAGATCAGACGCGAAAGAAAAGAAAGTCGGTTTTGGCGCTGGAAAAGCCAAACTTGCCGCCAGGCGACTTGTACTAGTAAAACTTCATTCCAAAAACTGTTCGAACGGGAAAGATTTTTTAATGATCCGCGCGAAGCTTAACAGAAATGGACCCAAAACGGAAAAACAGTGGATCTTGCACGTTAAGAGGTAAAGAAGCTTTACTTGAATGGAGTAAGCGGCAAACTGTTGGATACAAGAACGTTCGTGTGTGTAACATGACGACCTCATGGAGGGATGGACTAGCATTCTGCGCAATAATACACCGTTTCAAGCCGGACTTCATGTAAGTAGACAAATTTTTTTCTTAGTTTATCTTTACTATTTCGTTCAGTTTGTAATTACAGCAAAACCGCATTTTGATTTGAATATGAAAAGTATGAATTTGGAAATGTCATCAATTTTGTTGCTTTAGACGTGAGACAGTTTGTTTGAGTGATGACACACAAATTTACAAGAAATAAAATTCTCAAGACGTTCAACTTGTTATTGGACCCAGTAGACTTACGTTTCATCTAGTATTTGAAGGTGAAGAATTTAATTTACTTGCCAGTTCTCAATTATGAGTTTTTCTACCTCGATACAACAGCCCGGATGTTACAAGAAGGAAAAGATTCGACGAGTTTTATTTATTTATTGTCCTTTCCCTGAAAGTGAAGTGTTTCAAATTTCTAATGTTGCGAGACGATAACATGTTTTGCCGGAAAAAAATTCAGTTGTGTGCTGTTTATGTCTACAGCAGCTGGTAGATAATTTCAAAGATAATCATATGCTGAAATATACGAACGCATCCAAAGTACTTCAGACGTAATTCAAAGAAGACAAATGATAACTTTGTTTTATTAGCATACACTTTTATGAACCAAGAATGTCGGAATTTGTTACAATGATAATAATAATAATAATAACAAAATGATAAGTTCTGGAAAATGGTGGGCTCTATTTAAAATACACCTCTTCAGTGAATACTGAAGCAAATTCAAACATAAACTTGATATTTTAGAACATCACATAATTCCACATGAAGCGTGATAAAATTCAAAGACCGTGTGCTTTAAATAATAATTCAATGCCTGCCGTTCATTGCGGCAGCCGGTAAGCTTTAGTCGTTATTCCAGTTCTCCAATTTGGAAAGAAATGAATTTTGGTGTTTCAGAACAACGTATGATTCGATCTGAAACGAGTTGGAAAGTGAAACAATGATGTCACTTTTCAACGCTTCAAGTTCATCAGCTACGCTTTACAGTCTAGTTCTGCGGTTTCTTTGGTCTATCTAGTGTTACTTCATGATGCGGTTGAACCAACTGTCCACTGATTTGAACAAGCACTCCTCACCTTACCTCCCTACTGATTGACGTAATTTCCTTCAATGCTACTTCTGAAACATTTGTGTTAGTTGATGATTTTATAATTTCTCTTTACCTGTCTGCATGACAATGTATA